GTTGTAACAGGCCGTAGGGCTTATGTCTCTTGGGCTTGTTCTGGTGACATGCCAAACAGTTGCCTAGTGCTTCCTGCACCTTCGCTCGCAAGCGTGGTATCGCAAACACCTTAGCTAGTCGTCTAACCATTTCTTCGATCCCTGCGTGTCCGTATTCCTGGGACTCATGCAGTTCCTGTATGAGACTCGATCTCATGCGTGGAGGTACATATGTTCGATTCTTCGAAATCATATCTCGGTACTCTCGTTCATCGTTCAACAGTTCGTCGGAGCCTGCTTCGTCGGGCTCGAACTGCCAGCTGGCTGCTCGCTGCTGCCATTGCTGTTGTAGCGTTTCTACCTGCTCGGCCACCTTAGCTACCTTAGCTAGTTCCGGCTGGTTGTACTTCAGACTGCCATCGGGCATTATCTTGAGTAAGGCGTTATGTGGTTCTTTATGACCCTCTTCGCGCAAATCAGATCTTCTACTTAAAGCGTCTGCTGCTCCGTTGAGTGTTCCTGCGCGGTGCGTGATCTTGAAGTCGAACTGGGCTAGCATCTCTGCCCATCGCACTTGTCGTCGGTTGAGTTTTTTCGTTGTCATGAAACTCGTCAGGTTCTGGTGATCAGTAAAAACCTCGATCTGTTCGGGGAGTCCTAGTAGGTACACTTCCCATTGTTCAAAGGCATCGACTACTCCAAGTAGTTCCTTATCGTGAACATCGTAGTTAAGTTCTGCTCCAGAGAACTTTCGTGAATGGTAGAACACTGGTCTCCATTTTCCATCTAGGCACTGCTGTAACAATACAGCTCCGAGTGCATAGTCAGACGCGTCGGTCTCGACTCTGGTGGGTCGTTGAGGGCTGTACATCTCGAGTACTGGCGCCTCCAGGAATATCTGCTTAATTCGATCGAAAGCCTCTTAATGTTCCTGTTCCCATTTGAAACCTACTTCCCTCTTTGTCACTTCCGTAAGGGGTGCTGTGATCTTTAAGTAATCTCTAATGAACTTTCGATAATAATTCGCAAATCCTAAAAAGGACTGAATATCCTTGACTGTTTTAGGTTTTGGCCATTCCTGTACAGTCTGTATCTTCTTTGGGTTCATTTTCACGCCTTCGGTTGATATAATGAATCCGAGGAATTCCGTTTCCTATGTATGGAATTTACACTTTCCTGGTTAAAGGTATAGCTTATATTCCTTAAGCTTCCGTAAGACCTTCTTAACATGCTCAACATGTTCTTCGCGTGTGCCGCTGGAGTACACTAGTACGTCGTCTAGATACGCGGTGACAAAGATTCCGAGGTACTCGTGGAGAGCGTTATTAATGACTGATTAAAAGGTTGCCGGCGTATTCGTCAATCCGAACGGCATAACCGTGTACTCAAAGAGTCCGTACTTCGTTTTGAACGCTGTCATCCATTCGTGACCTTCTTTAATCCTAATTCGGTAAAATCCTTCCCAAACATCGAACTTCGTAAACCACTTAGCTCCCTAGAGTCGATCCATAAGCTCTGTAATAAGTGGTAAGGGATATCAGTTCTTCCGAGTTACGCTGTTCAACCTTCTGAAGTCGACACATAGTCGCCACTTCCCATTAGGTTTCTTTACGAACAAGATGGGTGAGGCCATCGGGCCTGATCCCGGTCAGATAAATCCCTTTTTTAAGTTCTTTTGGATGTAATCCCGCAGCTCAGCATCGTGCTCGGGCGCTATAGGGTACATTGGTCCTGGGCTCAACTTAGCTCCCTCATCAAGGATGATCTCGTGATCCCAATCCTGATGGTCTGCTAGGTCCGTTGCCTCATTTTCCTCGAACAGTTCTCTGAACTCGTCCGTTTGGTATTCTGTTGGAATCGCCAACTGTGGTACCGATCCTTCCTTCGTGGTCGCGATCTGCCGTATCCAAATGACTCCTACTCTCTGAGGGTCCTTCGCATAGATTCTCGCGATCTTATGCGGTAAGATCATGCCGAATCTCCCGTCCTGGGTTGCGCGCTGATTCGTCGGGCGTGTCTCGTATCGTACTCTAGCAACCTTATACACAGGCTCTCGGCTGAGTAATGTCTTCTTTTACCAATCAATAGCAGGGTTGTGCTTCAACAACCAATCGTAGCCAATTATCATCTCGGTCTCTCCAAGATCCATAATGCTAATCTTTTCTCGGCTTTCTTGACCAGCCAGGCGTAACGTTACTGCCTCGGTCTCAAGTCGGATCCAGCCGTTCCCGTATGTCGTGGGACTATCGTCGGCTAATACCACTCGCATCGGTACCTTCTTGTTCCGATAGGGTATGTTGTTTCTTTCCACTACTCGTGGCGATATGACGGTTCGTGCTGCCCCACTATCTATGAGCGCTAACACCTCATGTCCGTCTACAAGTACTGTGGCTTTCAATTGCAATTCTTTTGCTCCCACTTCCTGTACTTGTCTAAGGGTCGTTTTAGGACTGCCTTTGCCAGCGTGACCCTGTCCCTGGTGGCATCCTAGTTTTTTGACTGCCTGCTTCCCTTCTTCTTTGGGAAGTAGCCTTCGCCTGCCTTGGCGGAATAGTGTATCGTACACTGGTCGTTGTAGCAGAAGCTCCAATGGATATTCTCATGGGGCATCTTTCGTTGCGTGGTCCTCTTCCTTGGTTCCGGCTTCCTGCTCTTGTGAATCGGGCAATCCTTTGCCTCACAAATGTTCGCTGGTAGGGTGCTATGGTAGTGGT